GTTGTTGTTAAGAGCTGTAGAGTCAAGTCAATTCTGACCCATAGCGACTCTGTGTAGGGTTTCTGAGGAGCAGCTGGTGAGCTTGAACTGCCGACTTTGCAGTTCAAATGGCTTTGCAGTCTGGTGCATTAACCCACAGTGTTACATCTGGGATAGATAGATAGATAGATAGATAGATAGATAGATAGATAGATAGATAGATAGATAGGCAGATGTTAAGTACCGTCGAGTCGATTCCAACCAATAGTGACCCTATGTAGAGTTTCCAAGGAGCAGCTGCTGAGCTTGAACTACTGACTTTGCAGTTCAACAGTTCAAACAACTTTGCAGTCTGACACATTAGCCCACACCACCATACCAGGACTCGTATGTGTCTATGTGTGTATGTGTGTGTGTATATAGTGTATATATATATATGTGTGTGTGTGTTTGTGTGTATATATTGAGAGACAGAGAGAGTTACGTAGAGTTAGCAGCCCAACACTTAATCTACTGAACCACTAGAGCTCCTGGGAAACCCTATACAAGGTCTCTGAGTCAGAACGACTCAACGACACTTAACAACAAGAACCGAGAGAGACAGAGAGAGAGAGAGAGAGAGAGAGAGAGAGAGAGAGACTAAATGTGGTTAGACCTGGAGACCATAAAGTTAATCAGAGAGTTAGAGCTAAAAGCTAACTCTTTTAAACTACAACTCCATTCTATTTCCAAACACCAAGAGGATGGTGGTGGTCATGTGCCACAGTCCGACTTGTAACCACTATGCTACAATTATCTATCCATGAATCCATGCATAGAAACAGATGTAGGGAGTGTTGTTGTTGTACCTCTGAAAATGTCAAATTTCACCATCAAGAATACTAATTTAAGCACACCTTTTGGAAAATACCTGCATTCTCCAATTATCAAACGCCCAGTACATTCAATGAATCATGGAGAGGGGTTGGAATGGATTCAGAGGTGAAATTACAATACTCTGGAGTAAGTGTCTCCAAGGTGATTCTTCTTAAATGTCTTGGGTATACTCAAGTTTAACAGGTATAGTTAAAGAAATCAGATTTTAAAAGACAAACTGTAAAAAGCCATTAAAGATAACAATTAAAGAATTGTTCTTACAAAGAAACAATGGGAAGGCAATGGTAATTAAAGATCAGCTATACCATTGCAGAAAGTTTTGTATGCAAAAACTGCATAAAAATTCAAATAGAATTGGCCACAAAACACAAGTGATTTTCAGTTTCCTCTTGTCACTTAAACCTTGTGCACAAGAATATCTTGGGTGTGAACATGAAAACTAGACTTTCCTATACATAATTTTCTTTTCTTTTCTATATATAAATATTGGTTTCTTAGATTCTTACATTTTAAAAAACATGTCACTAGTGAAATTTTCTGAGTGTCATGCTCCAACTCCATTACCTCAAGCCCTTATAGTTTTAGATGTTGTCAAGTACAATTATCTTTAGGAACAGAGATGTTGCATTAAGAGCAGGATGGGCTACATAAATTCATCTGCAGCGATTTTCTAGCAATTGAGACCTTAAAATTTTTTCTTTGGAGTCTTTTGCTCTACTTTTCAAAGCAGGCTCAAATACAGTAGAGCTCACTTTGTCTGATCCTGCAGCCCTTTGTGTAATACTCACTAAAACTTTAAATATTGTAAAACAGGTCTGAAAAAAACCTACCTCGCTTAATTTAAACTCCTTTGTATTCATTCTTTCTACATCAACTTGTATATTGATACAGTCACCATTAAATATAATTCATAATATTTACTTAATTATTAATATTAACAAGCAGCCTATTTTTCCAAAGCACTCTGTTGAGGTTTTGTTTTGTTTTTGCCTTTTTGTGGGCGGTAATAAAAAGCCACATACGTAGTCATAATTGCTTAAGTAATGTGGTTTTAGCTAAATGTATTGACTTATTTAATCAAATCATACTTGATGAGAAAATTTTCCCTTGAGAAAAAAATCAGACAGGAAATGGCACAGAACAAATGATCCAGAAGTCTCTCTGTGTTCCCAAACTAAAACATGTACATAAAATTCTAATCACTATCCTGGAGGCGCTTTACAGTAAAAGGAAAATAAAGAAATGTTAATGAATATGACAGAAAGATTGGAAATACCTACTCATCTTTTAAAGTACCTAGGTCATTTATGGCAAGAAAACCTTTCTACCTTACATTTTGATGATTGTTGGAATATTATAAGTCATTTTATGGATGTGCATTTTCATGTATTTTCACTAAAACAACTGCATAAACTTTCGCATAAATATGGTTAAAGGATTTCTATGCCTCATGACTATAGGCAATCCTTGTAAATATCAGGCATAGTAATGGAAAACACAATCAGTACTCAGTAGAATAGAATAGAGAAGAATCAAAAATTAGAAAGTCCCTGACAGAGATCTCAAAGATATTCAATCAAATTTGTTGAATTTAATAGGAAATAAGTTCTTTTTGTTTTGCTTCTCCCTTTAGCATCCCAAACACACAAAATATGTCACATGCTAATTGCTATGTGAGGGGCAATAATCCCCAGTTCTCCTCTCAAGAGTTAGAATGCTGAATCATTCCCTAGGGCTCTCTCTGTGGTTCGCACTATGTGGAACACCCTTTTTATTAGCCAGAAGCTTCAGTGGAGACACAGTTGTTTATCTTGGAGCAAATTAGGGATCATTTGTTACAAAGGCTTTCCAAGAAAATACTTCCCTCAGCATGAGCAGAAAGCAAACCTCCAGGCAGGCCTTGCCAGGCACACTCCAGCCACCCCTCACGTGGGCCTTACTTGTTCTCATTGCTTGCATCATAACGTGGCATTGGGTCCAAGTCATTCCCATTCACATCACAACTTGCCAGAGCATCCTATGGCCACCAAGGAGAGAAAGGAAAGGGATGTTCATTAATTAGCCATTGACCTACAGGCTCATGCATTCTTAAACACATTTCTGCAAGAGAGTAATTAGGTTAACAAAGTCTCTTATGGAGCCATGGGGTCAAGCCACCTTAGGGAGGGAACACTTGTCCAATAACAATCAGTGTTGTATTTTCATTTATAATCTGTACAGACCATACATGTGCACTGTTCCACACCTCATACCTAGAACTGAACACTTCCACCCAATTCACAAAATGTGTATCTGTCAAAGATAGCATCTGATAATACCACCATTTCTGTAAAGTATTCTTTGACTACCTGGAAAAGTGATTTATTCTTGTGGACTCTCTTTCTATTCTTTAATTCATTTCCTACATATGCAAATTCCTTAGCATATAATTTAAAGACTTTAGTAGGCATAAACAATTCACCGATAATTGGGAAGCCAATTAAAAATCATCTTGCTGCTGTTAAGTACTTTGGAGTCTGTTCTGACTCATAGGGACCTTGTATAGGGTTTCCAAGGAGCAGTTGGTGGGTTTGAACTGCTGACCTTGTGGTTCTCAGTCCAGTGCTGATCCTCAGCACCACACCAGAAATCATATGGTTGTTATTGTTGTTAAGTGCCATCGAGTCAACTCTAAACCATAGCAACCCTGCATAGGGTTCCTGAGGAGCAGCTGGTGAGCTTGAACCACCGATCTTGTGGTTCAAAGTGACTTGGCAGTGCGGCACATTAACCCATAGCACCACACCAAGACTCCAGAAAATCATATTAGGTCTGAATTAAATTAGGTATCTTGACACTTCTATTAGACAATATTTGTCTGGTTCCGGTTGTTCTATCTATAATATAGAATTCACAATTGAGACTTTTTTTTTTAATTTAACTAATACTCAATGGCCTTTTGCCTCAACAAAAATGATGATGTTTTATCATATGTAAATGTTAAACAAAAAAACAGTGAACAGAGTCTACAAAATAAGTATAATGTGTTTGCTTTTAATAATGATTGTGAAAAATCTTTAAATAACTAAACATATTTTAATGGGTGGTTCCCATTGTTCTAATTTTTATCACTGTACATAATCTAATTTAGGATGCTTTGAGTTTTCTTATGAGGAGCCCTGGTGGTACAGTCATTGAGTTCTTGGTTGCTAACATAAAAGTTTTGGGTTCAAATTCACTAGCCATTCCATGGGAGAAAAATGTGGTATCTGTTTCCATATAGAGTTTCAGCCTCGGAAACAGTTCGACTCTGTCTTATAGGGTTGCTGTGAGTCAGAATAAATGTGATGGCAATGGGTTTGGTTTGGGGTTTGAGAATTTTCTTACGCTTTATGATTATTCCTATACAGGTAATGTTGTTATATGCCACTGAGTCATTTCTGACTCATCGTGAACCTGTATAGAGTTTCTGAGAGAAGCTGGTGGATTAGAACTGCTGACCTTGTGGTTAGCAGTCCAGAGCATATCCTACAGAGTCATAGGTAATCCTAGAGAATTTTCTCTTAAGGGGTAAAAAAAAGCAAAAAGTAAAGAAGGAAATCAAATTAGGCTAAAGCTATTTATGTGACCAAATACATTCCTATGAAGTGGGATTAAAACTACTAAAGTGGGAATTAAACTACTAAATGGGAATTAAAACTACTAAACTCATCTGCATATTTTAAGACAGCTCTTTCCATTTGTACGTGACCTTGGATAACTCATTTCAGGTATCACTTTCTTCAGTATCAATTTCTTCACCTATCAAATGATGGCATGGAACTGATGTTTCTCTTTAGTTGCAAAGTTCTGTGATATGAATATATACAAGGCTAACTGAGTGTGCTTGGAAGTCAGGTAAAGAATAGCTATTCAGCACTGTTTGGTTCAAATGGGAACTAAAGAAACTTAATAGTTCCTTCCAAAGAAAGAAAATTGACTAATCACCAAGAACTACAGTGAGGCTGACCATTACTGTTCCAGAAAATTGAAAAGGTAGAGCAAAAAAGATACCAGCAGAATGACTTGAGAAAATCTATGCAAGCATAACTTTCTCCATAAAGGAAATAAACAGTGTTGCCTGACTACTTGGATGAAATTGATTAAAACCCTGGCTGCTGTGGGTAGCAAGATGCTGCTGATTGGAGGACTTCCAGCTGCTACTATATCAGCTGCCTTTTTAGGTCAGCACATCAAAGGCACTGGACAGTTTAATGGGTTATCTTATGCTTCCTGCATTCTAGAAGCATATCTTTTACAAGAAAGGAGCAACATATAGTGTCTATTGTATCTGTTAGCACTACTTTTTCCAGTAGCTTTCCCTCTTTCTGATAACCCTAACATGAGTCCACTTGCTCCCAGGGAGGGGAGGCAGTCCAACCACTGCAAAGACTTACATAGTTTTGCATCAGATCCGGGTGAGTTCTCTCAATGCCATCGTCCAGAATGGTGACCACAATGTTCTTTCCCGTGTAGCCTCTCTTCCAGGCTCCTTCAATATTCATATCTGATTGGCAGGGATGTGTGTTATCACTGCAGTGCTACAGAAGAAAGGAGAAAGATTGGACGTTAGAGATTACTGAATAGTTGGGCAATGAGACAATTAGCCTAGCTGTTAAGATAATGCTTTCAATTAACTGCACTTTGGTGGGTTGCCAGTTTGAGTAGAATCATGGATCTTTTCCCTTTACTTAACGGGAAAGTAGGAAAGAAAGATATGGTGAAGACAAATGAAATACTGTAAATGGCTCCCACCAGCTTTGCCCTGTTGTGATATCTTAAAATCCTTTGTAACAATATAATCAAAAGAAGTCTATATAAACAGCAGAATAATGAATACATAATGACATTTCAGACTGGCCTGCCATAGTAACACACGGAATAATCTTAGATAGCATTTCATTTATAAATCCAAATCAGGTAACTGAAAACCATGTACCTTATGATTTCTTAACCATATACCTGGACACTAGCCCAGCTACAAGTAAGAACTAACTTTAGGCAACTTTTGTACAGTGTCAGCCAGGTGAAAAACCCATGATTGAAAGAAAATAACAGGCTCTCCAACTTCTTCCAATACATTAACAATGACTGCGGTACTCTAATTTGTTGTGGGTAGAGTGACTCATTCAGGGCTACTTTGAGGAGTGAAAGATGAATGGCACAGATTGCAGAAAGGTGGAAGGATACAATACACAGGAGAACGTGTGTGTGGGCTTTCAACGGCAGGCTGTAAAAAACATCAAACATTAGCTTATTATATGTAGCGATTTTATTCTGCAATGGCGACAACACATAAACATATTGAGAAAGGAATTAAACGGGCAGCTATTCCCACTATAATTTGCCAGCATTCGTCCAACCCACATAATTGTTCTTTCAAAGTCCATCTCTTTGAAATATCCTTCTTTTGAGTGGTGTTATTTTCCAGGTTCTCAAGACTCAGAAAAGAAAGAAATGAAAAGAGGTGCGCTGAAACGTAATGCCATGGCAACATGACCTCCCTAGGTCTTTCACGGTTCACTCTTTTCTGTCTGCACTGCAATGCTTTAGCACTTGGGAAGTGAAGACAATGCGAAGTTTTGTATGCTCTAAAGATAATGGAGACCCCAGTGCCATTAATTCATTTAAGGCACACTTCATTGAGTGCCTGCAACATGCTGGGGGTACGGGATGAACAAGGCACAGGAGGTCCTTGCTGTAAGGACCCTCCAAGGAAGAGACACAGATGATAAATAAACAAACTAATAGACAAGACCACTCAAGTGCATCTTGTGTTTCAAAATAATTCCACAGGGTGATATGATGGTGAAGGTGTTGAGCTCCAGGTATAGGACCTTCAGGTGAAATGGTCAGAAAAAGGATGGCAGTCTCGGAGACAAGTGAAGCACAGGCTGAGAAGGGATTGATGAGAAATAGCCTATCTGCCCGGGCCCTGGAAACAAGTGTTCTGGAAGAGGGAGATGTAAATGAAAAGACTATGAGGCAGGAAATAGCTTAATACATAGAAGAAAGGGGAAGAAGTTGGTTTTGCTGAAACCATGTGAATGAAGCACAGACAAAAGGGCACAGAAGGCGGAGAATTAGAAGGGGAGGCAAGATCAGAAGTAGAGCGTTTTGTTGGCCATGACTTGGCTTTTATTCCAACTATAACCTAAACAGGAGCTCAGTCATTTCCATCCTTCATCCCTCTATATCAAATGTCAACAAACAACAGAAACTCCCAATGCCCCTTGACATGAATGTGTTAATTAATTTATTCCCCAAATGAAGTTGCCTCTTGTTATAAACATATTTGAATTGTTTCAGGCATTCATTCTAAGAAAGGAGGTTACCAAGTTTTCATCAGGGACAACATCAATTTAATATAGTAGAAAGGTTGATATCTTCTCACCTTCCTGGCTTTTTCCTGGCACTGTTATCTATGTAGGGTTTTCTAAGGAGTGGCTAATGTGTCTGAATTGCCAGCCTTGCAGTTAGCACCCCAGTGTTTATCCTACAACACAGCATCTGGCATTAAAAGCCCTAAATATGTGCTCTCTACTGGTCCAAATTCTACTCCCTCACTGCCCCAGGTTTCAGCTGTCACCTCCACCCATAAAGTTCTTCTGCTTATTCGTCTCTGAAATTAAGGTACACACACAGATTCAGTTCTACACAATACAACCCCTCTCATGTATTCCACTGAATTAGCTTCCTGTTGAGTCCTTTATATTAATTTTGAATCCTTAATTGTAAGCACATTGTTGTTGTTAGGTACCATCAAGTCGGTACCGACTCATAGTGACCCTATGCACAACAGAACATAATACTGCCCGGTCCTGGGCCAACCTCACAATTGAGCCCATTGATGCTGCCACTTTGCCAATCCATCTCACTGGGGGTCTTCCTCTTTTTCTTTGACCCTCCAAACTACCAAACATAATATCCTTCACCGGCAACTGGGCCCTGTTGACAATATGTCCAAAGAATGAGAGACAAAGTTTGGTAATCTTGGCCTCCAAAGAGCACTCTGGCTGCACTTCTTCCAACACAGATCTGTTGGTTCTTTTGGCAGCCCATGGCATTTTCAATATTCTCCTCCAACACCATAACTCAAAAGCATCAATTCTCCTACGGTCTTCCTTATTCACTGTCCAGCTTTCACATGCATATGAGGTTATTGAAAATACCATGGCTTGGGTCAGGCACACATAGAAGACCATATTTTTACCTACATCTGAGCTTAAAAGTCCTGGTGTGATGCTGTAGGTTAATATGCTGGACTGCAAAGTTGGTTTGAACAGTAAGGTTGACCAATCACTTCTAAGAAATCCTATACAGGGTCACTATGGGTAGGAGCTGAATTGTCGGCACTTAAGAACAACAACCTAAAAATAGACTCTTGAAAACAATTTTTGATAAAGGACACAAGTTCACATTGCTACAATTTGATGAACTTGACCTATACTTATGGATGTAGTATCTCAAAATACCAACTGAGAGGGAAGGAGTCTTCATATTGAGTATCCCTTCTGTTAGGGTTGACAGGGACGGACAACTTATACATTGGCTACCTAAAATGTGGGGGCAATAAAGGCATGAAGTGACTGGCTCACAACTGTTCAAGAGGGAGTTTAGTTGCAAGGTGTGCAGGGAAAGGTAGAGTCTCCACTGAATAGTGCATCTTGTCTAGAAGGGTCTGGTGAAAAGAGATGGGGATAAGATTCTTATGATTCAATAGTGAATAATTATTATCATGACTAGTTGCGACTGTCACAACTGTAAAGGTAGAAGTTTTGTAACAAAACGGGAGTCCATAAACAGAGAATCTTAGCACTATCAAGGGAGAAGAACACGAACAGAATGTGGTACCATTTCCAGAGAAGCAGTGACACCAGAGATGGAGGCAGAGATGAGGCTATGGAGAGAGGGAGAAAGAAGCTGAGGACTCTAGACTCATAGAAAAAGAAACACTGAGAGCTGGTGGTCAGGAGGCAGGCTTACAGAATGTGCCCTTTGATTGTTTAAATTATTATATTCCTGAGTGGTTTTGTGTATGCCCCCAACACACACACACACACACACATAGAGGGAATGGAAGCAAAAACTGTTGAATGATGATGCACAGAGGAGATTGTAATCATTACAGTGAAACAATGAGTGTAAAACTGGTGTTTTCCCATGTAACTATCACTCAATTCACAATAAAAAC